TTTCCAAGCAATAAACTCTCAAAGCCCGATTCGCAACTGTATATATTATTATATACGTACATACACACATGGCATAACAACGAACATGGAGCCACGTACAACATACATTTGGATCCTTACGATTAGACTACTTGCTAAAGTTCTAAGCCAAGAAAATGAAGAAGCTGCGAATCCCGCAATAGCTACAACCAAAATAGTCACGAACATGCGCAAACAAGGGTGTTTAAAACTTGTGCAATTTTGCAAATATTATAAATCTTAAGTGCAAAGTACGTTGCCGTACTTGGGACTATAAACCATCACTGGATTAAGGATAAAGTCACTGTTTCAAGTACGCATCAGATTAACGGCATAAAATTTGTCCAAACTTCGCAAAAAGTCTTTGCCAACACTCGGTGGATGTTGTGAAACGTATAGAGTATGAAAAAAAAGATGGCTTTACTCTTCCTCTCTCCCTCCGTCTCTCTCACTCTCCCTCTCAAGGTGCATATGCTGCAATAAAACAAAGGAGACAGTGGCGGCATCTGTTACTGTAGGAAAACAAATCTAAAGAGCCATCATCCCTCTAACGAATTCGGTACGATGCCAAGGACCCCTTCCTATAAGAATAATAAAGAAAATCTCGAATACTCGCTTGGAAGTGAATACAAATATAAGGAATGCATTGGAGCGGCATTCCCGTAAAATAGCAGTATAAATGATCTTCACGGTAAATGCGTCGATTTAATTTTAATATAATTCAACAGTGCAATTAGATGCGATATAATTAAGCACCGCCCACTTGGTTCCTATACGCTTTACTTTTATCTCGTCGTTCACAAGGGCAATTCGAATTCGTATTCTCTCTCTCTCTCTCTCTCTCTCTCTCTCTCTCTCTCTCTCTCTAACATTCATTCATACAGTATCCCTTATTCGACCTCTCCTACTGAATTGCCTTATTTTTCATTCCACTTCGTTTAAGTAGTTCCTTTGAGCTGTTCGTTTGATCATTTAATTGGCTCAAGAATCCCAGTAATTTGCAACCTTACTAACGAATCCGCGAGCAACCCGTGGATATCTTATCTGAATAGGATTTATAAACAGTACCTACTTTGCTTCGAGAAGATTATCCACTCCTGAGGGAATATTACTTCAAAGTAGTCAAGTCTCCTTAATATATATATATTTATTTATTGAGGTAATACATAATTATATATGTATATATATATGCATATAAAGTACACATACATAAAACGGTATCCGAATGTAATGAAACTCCTGAAATGTGCTGAAGAATCTCATTTCCAGATTCTTATTTAAAATGTCTTATTTGCTTGTTAATTTTCCTTTAATCAAGTTTTCCTGGCTCATTAATTCCTCGTATAACCTTCGTATCTGCCTGCGGAGGTCCACCAAACTTGCTATCCAGGTATATAGTATATCTATGTACGGTAAGCGCGTATACCAAGTTCATAAGTGTATTTGAACGACCACAAATAGCGAAACGCATCGGCTAATGCAACTGCATTAGCGTTATATGCGCCACGGGTGTTACGCATTAGATTCATTATCCTCAGTCAAATCAAAATGGATTTGAATTGGCATGAACAATTGATCATGGCCCATCCATACAACTATATGAAGTTATTCAAGTTATGCTATGGGTAAATGACTTCGATACACTTCCCCTTAAATACATATACACTGTATATAACGGTTGCCTCCAGTGATTATCACTGAGTGCGAAGATCGCGTTACGTGTCCGGCATTATGCTTTGCGTCATTGAATCTCATGAAAGAGGAGCCTTGTCCTCGTAGTAACGTACCGTCACGGTATAAAGTTTCTTGCTCCGATTAGGTCATTGGATTGACCTAAGTTGGACATTGATACATATACTTTATTACATATTTATATACATATATGTATATATACAAGAGTACTTACTGTACATAAAAGTTTTCAGAGCATCGAATACGGAAGAATCGGACTTTTCTATCGATTCAATCAAAATTCGAGAGCTAATGTTAACGTTTCTCTCTCTCTCTCTCTCTCTCTTTTATCTTTTCTTCCCACGTGCAATTGAGAGAAATGCCATTGGCTTTTCGTGCTATTTGCCGCTTGTCGTATTGTTAAGCATAACGGGCGATATTGCCCTTTGAAAAAAAGGGAGCCCCGTTAAAATAGTTTCGATTAATTAGTCTTTTATCAGAACGAATAATTAATTATCGGTATTACCAGAGTGCTAATCGGGAAACGGAAATTACGTGAATCGTAGAGAGCTTTATTGTTACTTCGAAGACTAGAAAAATACAAAATTTTCAACCTACAGCCATTTAAACTGCCACATTTTTTCACTCTCGCACCTAATAATCAAATGCCCTTCGCGATCCCGCAATATCTATCGGCAATCTGTGCAAATATATAGGCGCCACTTGACAAAGCTTATCGACAATAGAAGCATATCCAGTTCGTGTTATATCAAGGTTGACATTAACCAGTGACTAGAAGTGCTGTTCAACGATCTTCACTTAATGATTATATACCGTGACGTAAACACTTCATCTCAAAATCTTCCATCGTATCGCGATAACGATCAATGGGCAATAAAAAATAGAAAAAAGAAACCATAAAGAAGCGTATCATCCAGCTGCAGGTTCGATACGACAGCTTGCCAAGACCTCTTACGTCATAGTTTTACAAAGCAAAGATACATATTTACCAAGAACGTATAAACGTTCGCTGTTACACGTGGGCATTGATATCTGAAATTTGTGTGCATCCTCGTTCAACAAAATGGAACAATATGTACATATACAGCAAAGAATCACTTTGCGTAATACATATCCATACACGAGAAGGTCCTGCATCTACATTTGCTTTCCCTTATATCGTAACGAATCGTGTAACGCAGTCACCGTCCTACCTCAACTGCATCCGACGTGAATACTGATATAGTGCAAGGTAATACGTGCATCTCCATAGGAGTTACATATAGATAAATAAACAGCCGGAGCTATATCGTGACATAATTAGACGGGGGTGGGACACGTCATATACATAGTTATACGTATGAAGCTTCGGGGCAGTGGTAACGCGCTTGAACATTTATGACACCTTTGACGGGGG